GTGCATTCTCATGCTTTCTGAAGAACAACAGCTTTCTTATGAGATGGGATTGTGACAGTTCTACCAGATGTGAACTCCATGAACTCTGTTGAACACTTATGGGGTGACCTGTGGCATCTAGGGCTCATAATCCAGTGAGCAGGCACATGCTTTGCACAGAATCCCACGAGTACAGCATCTGCAACCTGGCACAGCATGCATCTCTTCCAACAGTGACCACACGTGTTGCTGGCATGTGACTCCCTGTGGACTAATCCTGCTTATGACACAATCAGCATAACGAGTTTAGGAACTGACTGTGCGATAAAATGTCAGATTTATATAATTCTTCTGATTACACATTTGTGAAGTTGTTGCAGTTATAAGTGATGTGTCTTTAGATGCTTGTGTAGGCATGTATAGTCATTTAATTATTGTCACAGTGATTACATAGAGACTCTTAGATGTTCTCTGAAAAATTACAGTAGAAATCAGTGAAATGACAGGGTGCTATTAACAAAAAAGAATACATAAATTTTCCTACAGATTTAATGGCTGCATTTATGAAGACAGTGACAGAAAATTGACTGTTTTTTTTATTTTCTACTGAGAATGTGCCTATTAATACTGAAAATGATCAGTAAGATTTGACCTGTACATGGAAGATCCGAATGATGCTGGGCAGTTAATAGTGGAGGGGCAAACAAAATTATATTTTTGACAAGAGATGAAGCAGCACTACTTAATCATACTTGTGTTGCTTTAATGTGCTGTCCAACACTGCACAGTGGTGTTTTGATGTGAACAGGCAGTGGCAAACTATCACCTTTCAGATGTATTACAAATCTGTCACTTACATATCAGAATTCTCATCTGAGATTACAGAAAAACTACAAAAATATGTAAAAGTAAGATGACAGGCAGGTAAACCGAAGAGAATAAGGTAACTTCTCAGAAACTCTTGAGTTTTGACTTTTCAGCTGCAGATTTTAACAAACGGTCTATTACACTTTGGTCTTGATGTAACAAGCTCTCCCCAGGGCTTAGTGCAGCCTGCTCTGCTTTTTACCTGTTTGCTGGGAAATTAAACAGGGATGAAATCTTATATTACCCGCCTGACATTAAATACAAGTAAACATAAAGGCACACAAGGCCTTCAAACAGCCTTTCAAAATATTTAGCAAACGCGCACTCCAAGCCTTGACTGTGACCTAAAGCTCTCTTACAACAGATGCAGTTTCTGTTAAAAAATTTGCACGGATTGAGAGCAGTGAAAAGAAAGGCAAAATTACTGTGATAAACTTCAAAATGTCAAGTGTAATGACAGAAAAATGAAAAAAAAAATCCATACTTAAAAGTTAAAAGAATAAATAAAATGAGTTTTGACAGTAGAGCTACTTTCTTCACAGGAGAAGACTTGCCAAGTCAGACAAGTGTGTTTTTTGTCTGGTTTTTACTATTTTCAACATAGAATGAACCTCTGCTTGCTCTTTTGCAGTTACTCACTCGAGCCTTGATCGAACAAAGTTCTGCTCCTTCTCCACTTCACACTTGCTCCTCTGTCCATTGCGACCCTGTCACACGCCCGGATAGGATCCTCCATCTCTCACACACAGAACGAGCGGTCCGGTGACCCAGCAGGTAAGGAGTGTCTCTCAAGCACCACACGGTTACAGGGCTCACATCTAATGAGCCTGTTATGTCCCCTCATTCTCTTTTCTAGGACCCCTGATGGAGCAAATTACCAACTGTGGAGATCAGGACCCTTCATCACCACTTGATCACCTTGGCAACTTCTCAAAACTGCAGAATCTGTGAATCCCCCAATACCCCTCTGCTGATGCGATCTGTCATCAGCAGGGCACTTCCAGCCTCAGCTACAGAAGCATTTAGAACATTCTGACTGGGAATTCTGAAGCCATGAATGTGACTTTTTTCACTAAAATCCACTATTTTGCTGTTCATGTGTTGTGTTACTCATTCTTTAACCTTGAAGTTAAAGTTTAACCTAATGAAATCATAGCCCTGAATTGGGCTATGATTTCAATAGAATATGTTGCAGCATACTTGCTTTAGTGTTGACTGCAAAACTAGCAGTAGTTTCTATTGAACAAAAACAGTAGACAAATATAGAATATCTATTCACAGCAGCGAATAGACAAAAACTGCCAGTTCGTTTGCAAGAAGTTTCAGCGAGCAAGTTAATTCTATTGAAAGGGCAGCACCAAATAGTATTGTGCAAAAACAAACTTAAATTTTTGAGTTATCCAGAAATGGCACAAATATCTGATGTATTTGATGGTGACGTACTGCATGATCAAATATTATAAAGTGCATATAACCAGGACCAAACACAAATTTGGCAGACTATGTTAACATCTTGATTATAAAGAAAATATTATTGTGCTTAAAACAGTATTTTGCTCTATTCTCTAGCTCGTGATGAAATTAGACACATTAGGATTCTAACAGGAATCTCTGGGGAAGAAAATGCCTTGGACTCAATTTAAAATACCAAATAATCTAAATCTTTACAACAAATGTTTTTTTTTTCATAAGAGGACATAAGATGGACCTTGAAACATATGAGACAAATCTAAATACGCATTTCTAGTAAGTGCCAAACTAATTGTGTGCAAGAATATTTGTACTTCTATGAATATATACAAGAAAATGCAGGGGCATTTTCTTGCAGACCCGTGAGAGCAAACTGACCTGTTTTTAGGACGTTGTTGCTGCTGAAATGAAACTGTTGCAATACTATATGCTTATGGTTTCCCTAAGGACTACACTACAAAAACTTTACAACACATAGTTCTGTTTGTCTTTGTTATTGAACGAAAGCATTTACCACAGGTTTCTGTATGTATTGTGCAGAAGAAGATTACCTATCCCAGCTTTGTCTTTGAAATAATCACTATTCACGATGTTGTATTGTCGTGACTAAAACAATAAACAATAAATATCTAATCTGACATCATCTCATTAATTTCACCAAAAAGAAGGAACCAAAAAGTGCAACTCAGTACACACTGTATCTTTCACAATGCTTATTGCACCTTGTCTTCTGAAAGAGGACTGATACTTTTTCTACTGTAAAGACCTCAAAACACTGTTTTACGTTGCAGAGCACATCAAATTGGTTGATATTCTGTCATTTAGATGAAACGTTAAAACTGAAGCAAATACATTGTTCACTTTAGTTATGTTACATTCCTTTTCTGTTCAATACCAGTTGAAATTTGCAATATGTGGAAGAAATATGTGATATATAAATGAAAGTTTGAATAGTGGAGTATTATTAATAAATTCAAAACTCTACTATATGTTTTAATTAGTGTTTAAGCAGTAGTACGGGGCAAAAAATGAAAGTAGTAAATCTAAACTAGAGTAAAATACTGAGTAAGTAATGCCAGGCACTGACAGAGAAAATCTTTTCTCACTTTATTTCTCGTATTTTGCCTGGAATATTGAAGTAATTAAATGGCTAGCCTTGATTAAAGAGGACGATACAATTGTGTCACAGGCTCTTATTGGGCCTGAATTGTAATGAGTTTGTCTTTGTGCTGAAATTGGTGTTTGAGTGTCAAGAGGCTAAGATCGAAATCATTGGGATGTTATATTAGAAGGGGAATTAATTCTAGATGTATTAGAAGGGAAAATGATTCTGTCATAATAGAGAAAGCTGAAAAAAAGGTCAACTGGGCTCTTTTCAAATATTGAGGAGATGTTATTTTAAAAAATATCCATAGCAATTAAAATAGTGAAAATACGATAATGAAGAGAATGAACTGAAAAGAATATGGGCAAACTCTTCTATTAGATAAGACTGACATTGAGCCCCTCTTTGAAGTAATAGCTCTACGAGGAAAACAAGAACTGTATCAGCAGGCACAGTGCCAAGAGTTTTAAGGAGGTTTTAAAACTGTTTAAACAAAAATCAACACTCCTGAGATCTCAGTGGTTTCCAAAAATAAAACCAATAGCATTTGTCCAATTGCTTAGAATCCATGACATCTAATTAATTTGGACTTTTCAGACTAGACTTATGCACATTCCAAACGGAAGAAACGATATTTAAAGCACCTTTCTGATCCCCACAAGCAGGTACGAAGCGCTGTAGCAAATAAAGGAGCAGCTTGGCGCCTTGCTTATTCGTTAACGGCGCACGAGATGGAAGAGAAGGATGCCTTGTGCAGGAACCCAAACGACAGGTTCTCCCATAACATGAACTCAGGAATTAACTGTCGCTTACACGGGAAACCTGGTACTTCAAATTAATCAACGGCTGTATTTAATTCCGAATCACTGCCAGCTCGCTTCATAATCACCTGTCACACCTTTATAATACTTTTAATAACACACACTGAGACAAACTCTTCTGAATGCCATGCAGGCACAGTGGCGTTCTGGTCACTCCCGATTATAATCACATGGGAGCTTCCTACTGCCTCTGTTTATCCTGCCGTGGCTGATTGACTGCGCTGATGAAGAATGAAAGAAAACGAATTAAGAATTCATGTCTTTAGAAACTGAAACAATTTTCCCCCTTATTAAGTGTGGTTTTCTTTTCTTGGGAGTGACATGTGATGGAACATCCCACATTCAGAAACTGACAAGCAGCTTGTCTTCGTGAAAATATCGCAGACCCAACACTCTGCCACGAGCTACTTTTCATCCCCACACTTTTTTTACAGTATGAATTTGCAAGTAGTCTGCAGCAAGCTCAGCAGAATTACAGTAATATGGATGTGCGTTAATCAAATGGATGTGTGTGGTTCAAGTACCCAATATTTTCACACCAGATTAAAATAACTCTTTATTCTAAATTGCACCTTTCGGAAAATCGCCTTCATGTGCTTTACAGTAAAAAGGAAGAAACAAATACAGGTACAAATTCATCCTGCAAATTACACAGAATTGAAAGTAGCAGATTAACAAACTGCTGACTGACTGGCCTGTAAGACTTACAGTAGCAGGGGCTGTAAGACTGATCCACTGGGCAAAAAAGAGGACAAGACTAGGAGTTTGGGGAATTTTAATTCAACATTTTCAAAAGTAGAAGACTATTGACTGTAAATGGGTCAGTTAAAAACAGCTTTATTTCACAATAGTTCACAAACCGATTATACAGCCTCTTGGATAATATAATAAAAATAGATTAAAACCAGAACTGGCGTCGGGTATTTTATAAACAAAAATATGCTAAGCAAAAAAAAATATGGGTGTGTATATTATTATGCTTTTGCCTGAGCTATGTATAATCAGCTTTTAATATATTCAAATAAAAATCACTGCATGACTGTTCCCCCCACCACAATCCGCAACATTCCTGCTTTAAATTGTTGGCATCCTAAATGTCTGGTTAAGTCACACAACACAGTGTCCCAAAAGCAAGTTCCATGTTTAATGTAAAATGACATTTCCCTAACAGCTTGTAATATTAGCCAGAACTACACACATGTAATAAGAGTCTGCTCTTGAATGAGTCCTGTCATTGTAGCACCAGGGTTCATTATCTGATTCCTAAAAACAATCATGGCCAAAATACTAAACCTTTCCTACATCACTGTCCAAAGAACAGCGATTCCACCCCCACTCTTAAATTGTTTAGGGCTATTTAGTATGCTATAGGTGTAAACCAAAGACTAGGAACACAAGCATCAGAACTGGGGCTCTCCAGCATTAATGCAAGGATAGCTGTGTTATTATAGGCCTAATGATATCTAGCACAGACAAGGAAGCATGGGTGTCATGCTGGGAAACCAATGATGGTGCTCTTGTTCTGACTGCAGGCAAAGAATATCTCATCAAAGCACATAAATTCCATGTGTCTGTTCCAAAAATTAAAACCCTTAAGGAAATGGCTTTCATGGTTCAGTGGTTTTAAAGGGTTTCTCCTGCCTGGGTTTCAAATGGGCAAATTAATGGTTCCTTTGAAACAAATTGGAATTACACCCTTGATGAGTAAATTTCCATATAACTGCTGTTTGAGCACAACCTCCTTGAGTTGATTATAATAAAGCAAAATCAACGGCCAGGTTACTTTTAAGGAGGTTTTATAACCCACTTTGTTTACACACTGTAACTCATTCATTACACAAAACACTGATAAAGGTGGAACTGCTAAATGCATTTGCGAAACTGCATCTGGTAAATGAAAATGTCACAGAGGCTTTATCAAAGGGTCTTATTAATAACACCACGGCACAGCATCTTCTTCCAGGGTATCTTACGTTTGTAGGCAAACATCGAATACCACAGGCACAATAATGACTTTGAACGCAGAGCTTTTTTCTAAGGCTAGAATAAGCAGAGAAAAGCAATAAAATGTATTTTGTACTAGCACCTACCAAAATATCACTCCAATGCAGAATGGCATCTGTGTAGGAAGAACAATATTCCTAAAGCTCTGCGGAGCAGGAAATGCATCACAATTCTAAGAGTGTAAAAAAATATACAGCTGCAATGAAGAAAGCTGAGGGTTTCCATTGCTTGATACCAAAGGTAAAAAAAAAGTTTAAATTAAAACAATTATTACTTATTGGCATGTTTGGTTGGCCACCTAAATTTTAGATCACGTTTTGTGAGGAGGAAGACAAACGCATTTCAATGCAAAAGATAAAGTATATAACCAGGTATTACCTTTCAATTAAATGAAAATCACCTCTACTGTACCCAATTCAATGTAATGGTGAACACAGGTCATTCAGTTCTCCTATTTTTTTCCGTTAACATATGCTGATTTAAAACCTTGGCGCTTAAAACCTACCCTCCTGTGACGGATGTGCTCAACAAGAATTATTTTCTATGTTGCTGTTCAATCCAATACAGCGAATTCCCCAATTTCATAACTATGCCTCCATCAATGTCAGACTCGTCTACCCAGGATCTGGAAGAGTGAAAAAAGCTTTCCACCAGGTGAGCAGTCATGTGTCAATGACTCCCTATCATGGTATGCTGGGTGTATACCAGTTAAATGGATAATAAAACAATATGTTAACCTCTCTTCACTTCACAAATACTGTATATTATTACATGAGCATAAAGAACTGCATCTCACTTTTCAAAACAATTTTGAAGGAACCCTACCAATTTTATTTATTTTAAGGCAGTCGGCTGTCAGAAAAGGTTTGGTTATAGGAACAATTAAATTCACCAGACAAGTCTACAGCTCTGAGAATTTATTATCTATTTGACATTAACCGTGTACTGTATTTAAATACCGGTTCTTAGCTGAGCTACGTCAAGGTCAAAAAGCACACTACGCACTGAAAATGACAAATCATAACATTTGTAACCTTTATGATCACAGAATTTAAAAAAAGAAATAAGATTTATTAAATGCGGTACAAGACAATCCATTCTGCCAGTGTATAAAATGGACCATCTGTACTTGTGCAAGTAAAATATAGCTGATGCCAACAGTGAAGAGGCACAATGGCATTCACATGGAAGAGATGAAGCCACTAACGTCAGGGCACAAGTGAGTAATGGCTGCCGTTTGCTAATTTTTCTCGATAGTAATTTTTGTTCAGTTTGCATTCTCTTGCTCTGCAGTCTCTTCTTTAACTGAATCCTCTTCCTCGTGTTCATCTTCATCTTCCTGAAAATCAAGACAAACGTATACATTTTCTTTATTTAGAGCATTAACAAACAAAAACATCCTCCACTTTTGCTACAACAAACACATACTTGGGGACACAACTGAAAAATTATCAGCATGCTCTCACACGATTATTAACAGAGAAAACATCTCCTAACATTGGTGATGAACATTTGCTTTAAAGCAGAGGATCATAATATAGATACCAAATAAAACCCCAAATCTTAGAAAGATCGGTGTATATCCATGTGGACAAAATGCATTTTTGCTTAGACTTTAAACTACCATCTTGAACTGACAGCAGAATACATCAAATTGAGAACTGGCTGGTATTTAAATATCAGAGGTCACAGTTTTTTTAAATCTGGCAGTTTAAATAGAAAGCTTTTAATTTATTAGGCCCTCCTTTGCAAGAGCCTTGTCGTTGTCTTAAAATTGCTTTTGATAAGCAGCTGCAAGTGAAAAATGCTTCACTTTTCTGAACGCAGATACTTTTACTTTGCCAACTGATAAAAGGATATAAATCTAACATCACGGACACCTTATGTTCTGCAGCTCGGTATTTCTGTGCCATCCACCATATCTTTCTGACAAGCTTGCCAATTTTCCAATTACTTGTAGCACCATATGTTATCTGAAGATCACTCAAGTCTAAAATAGGAAACAAGAAATTGTCGGGCTACAGCATGCTAACAATCTTATAAAGCTCTAACTCGAGAATTTTACTCATAATTTACTACATGTCTCCAGAGACCACATGGTATAAATGAAGTGACATCATAGCATCAGGGTCCATTGGGACTGTTTACTTGTTACTTGGTCACTGTTAGAAATAGGAGAAACCAAGATGAAGTACAGTTTGACGCAGGGAAGAGGGAAGACTTTAAAACACCTTAAGCATTATGCAGTGATTACTCACAGTGATACAAAGCAATTAAGAAATATCTAATGCAAAAATCTAATACCTATTAGTTTTTATGTTTCAGTTATTTTGTCTTACTTTACCAGTACTTGCCAGAAAGGTAAAACTACAGTTAAATATTACACACCCATTAAAAGCCATATCATTTTTAACACATTCTGGGTTTTGTAGAATATTGGTTGGATTAAGGCAGTACATTCATTTGAATGGCTTCATGTAACTACGGTAAAATAACATTTTGGAATGCCTCAAAGGAGCATTTGAGACTAAATGAGGTAAATTAAAAATTCACATCAAATCAATTAAAAAATCATATCAATTAAATTTGCACATCTACTGTATGCATCAGAACTTGTTCCAAAGCCTATAACAATATTTTACCATATTTATACAACTTGATATAATGTCTTGCACCAAGTCCTGGGTTCAATCTGATTTTTGATAAAGTATTATCAACTCAACTGAAAGTCAATGAAATTGACCAAATAATTGATGCAAAAGAATGCACAGTATGTGGATCACATCAACGGAAGCCAGAGGACATACTGTGCTTGGAGAAATGTATTGAATGAATACACTACAATAGAACTGGTGCACCCTCCAACAGTCAGTGGATGTTGGAAGGAGATATGCATCTGATCTTGTACACAGGAGACTGCGAGGACTGGCACCGCACAGTGGTAAAGGCAGTGGTTTGTCTTCCAGGGAATGGGAGCCCTAGCTACATGGATCACTTTCACTTTGACAGCCCTGACAGCCTGGCATTTGCTTTATGAAGTATTTTGAGCCAGCCATCAGGAAAATGCACCCTCTAGGGTTTTGGAAGGCTGACAGTCCTGCCTTTGTTGCACATCTCCATTATTTCTCCTTGGTGCCAATGGTCTTCTGCGCACGCTTCCTCTTAGACAGAATTTACTGACCCCGCCCTTCCATGAAAGCAAGACAAGAACAAAAGCGCTGACAAGATGCCAGCCTGTACATTGCTGAAACTTGGTGGTGTGTTTTTGGCTTCACTAAGTAAAAGGGAGAGAAAATCCACTGGCCAGTCTCATAAGGATTCAGAAAAGAACAATAAATGTAACTCTAGGTGGCAGTGCAGGGCCATTCTGAGAGCCAGCTGCTTTGTGCCCTTTCAATCCCTTGTTTCTCAGACTCTTAATGTACCCTACCGATACACACAATCAACTTCATAAAGCAGGATTAGAATACAACTACAAAGAAGTCAAATTTTAAATAGTATTTTTATTGTAATAAGCTTTTGAACCCTTTATCATGCCAGCACAGTCCTCAAAGAATTAGAGCCTAATTAGTATTATTTATTTTCTTATCTTGTTTTTGCTTTAATTTATTTCTCTGTATTTTATTATGTGCACTAAAACCCCTTTCATGTGGGGGAAAAAAAATCCCCATTAATCGTTATTGTCTTATTTTGTTTGTTTCAATACTCCCTGAAAGGTAATATAACATATAAGCATCCTGGAGACAATAGCAGCTAGTTGTCTTTATCTGCTTTGTGAAAAAAGAGATCAAGGTATATTGGATTTCACACAAAAAAAAATCAAAGTTTAAATCAATTCATCTCGTAAATAGTTTTTTTCTTCAAAAAATCACGATGCAAATCCAAACTTTGCAAAAAGATGCAAGGCTTTTGCCATTTTCTAACACAATAACACTTGTGGTGATTTAAAGCTCTGCCATCGTTCTTTGCATGGTACAATCGTATTGAGTAATAAAAACCTGGTTCATTAAGCTAAGATCAAACTACATGTTATATGCTACATTTACCAACCTTTGGTCCCTTCAGTTCCCTGTTTTTGATTTCAGATCTCCATTGCATTGAACGAGCAACTGGAAAGCACAATTAAATTTCATGACTATGCATTCTTGTTCTTATTTCATTTATTACAAAGGGCAATTAATCTACCTTTCTATGAGTAAATTTCCATTTTAGTGAGCCATGACAGATATCGAGATGAACTTACAGGAAATGCTTAATTAAATCTGCTGTAAATTGCACAAGCATTTTTTTCTTCTGATAAGAACAGATGGATATACAATGTGAATGGGACATTTTGTGGGGAAAAAATGTGATCTGCTCTCATGACAAAAAAACCCTGGTATATAATGTTTTATATGTAACCGTAAAGTGATACAATTCACATGCCCCTTATATACTGCAGAATAAAAATCACATTTTATGAAAAAATCTTCACATCTAGATACAGTATGTTAAGTTAATATTTAAACAAAAGAACACCAAAATAAACTATAAAGAAAATAAAATATTCCTTAAGCCCTATTTATCTTTTCAGTTAAAGGTTTACATATCTTTGCATATTTTAAATACAAACTAATAAAATAACCACTAAACCAATGGTTGCATGTATGGACTGTAGAGTAAATTAACGTGCATACTGGTTCTCAGCTGATACTCCAAGGTCTAAAAGCACACGATATATTGAAAATAGCAAGACATAACATTTGTAACCTTACAGTAATCCAGAAATTCCAGATTCTGTAAGCATGTACTGTAAATCAGTGATCAGATATTTTCTCCTGGATGTTGTGACGGCAGCCATAGTGCGCCAGTACGCTCAACACACATCAGCTATCAGTGGGGAGAACAGAGTACAATTCATTTCATAGATGGGGATTATTAGGAGGCCGTGACTGGGAAAGGCCAAGGGGAAATTTTACCAGGACGCCTGGGTTATACCCCTACTCTTTTCAAGAAACACCCTGGGATTTTTAATGGCCGCAAAGAGTGAGGACCTCGGTTTTGTGTCTCATCCAAAGGACGGCACCTTTGCAGTATTGTGTCCTCGTCACTGTACTGGGGCATAAGGACCCACACAGACTGCAGATTGAGCGTCCCCTGCTGGCCTCACTAACACCTCTTCAAGCAGCAGCCTTAGCTTTCCCAGGAGGTCTCCTGTTTAGGTACTGGCCAGGCTCACACCAGCTGAGCTCCAGTAGGCTGCCAGTTGTGAGGTGCAGGGTGATATGGCTGCTGCTCCTCAGCATGGTCCACTGCAAAAATTAAACTAAATTGTCTGTGACACATTTGCTATACAGGGTGAGTCCTGAAAGTCAGTCGTGGTCTCTCCGCCCCACTTCAACACAGCAATCGAAATACTGCTCAAGTCCCATGCTGGTTATGTTAAAAAAGCAGTCATATTTAAATTTGTGATGGACACTAAATGACCGTACAAGAGTGCTGGACTAAACCCAGATGGCTATCTACTATACCTTGAAGCCTGACATCACGCCTAGTGGGGTAAAACACTATGCAACCCCTGGCTACTCCAGTATCTTGAGAGACCAATTAAAAATGGCCTATCACCCTAAACATTTTAACCAAGTCCCCAGTCCATCTCCTGGCACAACACAGGACAATACAGGGCCCAGGATTCTGTATGCTTTGTTTTTTTCACTCCATCTCCACACACAGGTTTAACAAAGATGATGGACCATGAAGGCAATGTCACCCTACCGGATTTATTTGGTGTACAGATTAAACCAGCAAGCAAAAGAACATAAAAACAAAACCAAAGTTGGGAAAAATGAAAGAAAAAACTACCAAGATGTACATGGATGTTATCCAGGAACTTCAACATCTTAATTAGAATCGAGACATCATCAGTTAAAGCAGAGTGTTAATTCTGTTTTCAATGTCACCTTTAAGGTAAAAGAGATAAGGACACTGGTAGTCTGTATCCATTAATAATGTATAGCATAGGAAGTTTGTGTTCAATGATAGTGTATATGCTAGTGTATGAGCTATTTGAAAATCTGTCACTGGAACTTTAACATGGTTCTATTTTTATATTCCAAAACGACACTAAATATTAAACCCGAAGCCTAGTTTTGGTTGAGCATGCACATTTCTATTTTATTATTGCAGCAACATAAACCATAATGCTAAGTTTAATGATTCATCTTGCACAAAATCAAAGAAAATCATGCTGTTCTACCATATGTCTCCTGCATATCAAACAAAGAAGTCATTCGGTGTAATAGTTTATTTCACCAGAGTATTTAAATGAGTGCACCCTCATATTTAGATAGATGCTTCAAA